GAGATTAATGCAATTTGCTAAAGCAGAACCTAAGACTGATACACCTTCATCACCAATTTTATTCCAACTTTTTAAATATTGAAGAAAAAATATATCATTAAATAGTTATTTAAAGGAAAAAATGAAGAAAAAATATGAAATAATAAGAAATAAATAATAAAAGCAAAATTTGAAAATAAAATGATGAGCTAAATTAACAAAGAAAAAAAAAAAAAAAAGCAAGCACAATAAAAAGAAAAAGAAAAAAGAGCTTTATTGTTTTTAATTAGTTTTTATTATTTAAAATATCTCAATCCAAAACAAATAAACTGTTTTTACGAAAGGTCAAGTGTCAAATTTGAGAGATTAATGCAATTTGTTAAAGCAGAACCTAAGCCTGATGCACCAATTGCACCAATTTAATTTCGACTTTTTAAATATTGAAGAAAAAATATATCATTAAATAGTTAATTTAAGGAAAAAATGAAGAAAAAATATGAAATAATAAGAAATAAATAATAAAAGAAAAAGCTGAAAATAAAATGATGAGCTAAATTAACAAAGAAAAACAAAAAAAAAGCAAGTAATTAGTTTTTATAATTTAAAATATCTCAATCCAAAACAAATAAACTGTTTTTACGCAAGGACAAGATTCAAATTTGAGAGATTAATGCAATTTGCTAAAGCAGAACCTAAGCCTGATGCACCTTCACCACCAATTTAATTGTTACTTTTTAAATATTGAAGAAAAAATATATCATTAAATAGTAAATTAAAGGAAAAAATGAAGAAAAAATATGAAATAATAAGAAATAAATAATAAAAGCAAAAGTTGAAAATAAAATGATGAGCTAAATTAACAAAGAAAGAACAAAAAAAAGCAAGAACAATAAAAAGAAAAAGAAAAAAGAGCCTTATTGTTTTTAATTAGTTTTTATAATTTAAAATATCACAATCCAAAACAAATAAACTGTTTTTACCCAAGGTGAAGTGTCAAATTTGAGAGATTAATGCAATTTGCTAAAGCAGAACCTAAGCCTGATGCACCTTCATCACCAATTTAATTGTAACTTTTTAAATATTGAAGAAAAAATATATCATTAAATAGTTAATTAAAGGAAAAAATGAAGAAAAAATATGAAATAATAAGAATTAAATAATAAAAGCAAAAGTTGAAAATAAAATGATGAGCTAAATTAACAAAGAAAAAACAAAAAAAAAGCAAGCACAATAAAAAGAAAAAGAAAAAAGAGCTTTATTGTTTTTAATTAGTTTTTATAATTTAAAATATCACAATCCAAAACAAATAAACTGTTTTTACCCAAGATCAAGTGTCAAATTTGAGAGATTAATGCAATTTGCTAAAGCAGAACCTAAGCCTGATGCACCTTCATCACCAATTTAATTGTAACTTTTTAAATATTGAAGAAAAAATATATCATTAAATAGTTAATTAAAGGAAAAAATGAAGAAAAAATATGAAATAATAAGAATTAAATAATAAAAGCAAAAGTTGAAAATAAAATGATGAGCTAAATTAACAAAGAAAAAACAAAAAAAAAGCAAGCACAATAAAAAGAAAAAGAAAAAAGAGCTTTATTGTTTTTAATTAGTTTTTATAATTTAAAATATCACAATCCAAAACAAATAAACTGTTTTTACCCAAGATCAAGTGTCAAATTTGAGAGATTAATGCAATTTGCTAAAGCAGAACCTAAGCCTGATGCATCTTGATCACCAATTTAATTTTCACTTTTTAAATATTGAAGAAAAAATATATCATTCAATAGTTAATTAAAGGAAAAAATGAAGAAAAAATATATCATTAAATAGAGTAAGCTACCATACAAATTTACAAAAAGCGAGTTTTATATACCAGTTTTTACATTTTATAAAATTAAAATTTTAAATATTTTTTATGAATTTTTTTCTATCCTAGGTTTTCAAAATTCATTTTTTTCAAAAAAAAGAAATGTTATGCTTTCTAAAAATTAGCTTTATTATATAATTTTATTAAGATGTAAATTAAATAGGTATTTCACTATAGTTAATTAGGAGGAAAAATTTATAAAAAATATGAAATAATAAGATTAATTAATAATTAATAAATTTAACAAAAAATGAAAAATTAAGCAATCATAATATAAAGAAAAAGGAAAACAAATCAAAAAAATTAAAAGAACTATAATATTTTAAATTAACTTTTATAATTAAAAATATTATAATGTAAAAAGAATAAATAGCTTTTATTAAGTGTAAGTTTTAATAGCAAAAAATGAAGAATATATATCAAATATTAAAAAATGAATAATAAATAATTAATTAAAAATTCAAACTAAATTAAGTTAAAATATAAAAAATTTTAGTTTTAATAAAATTCAATAAATAATGATAAAAATTTCTAAAATAAAAATTATTTATTTAAATATATAAAAAATATTAATAATAAAAAAAATAAAATTAATTAATAAAATATACTTGAGATTAATATGGATAACCTAATGAGATAAAAGTGAAGAACTTTTAAACTTTTTTTATTAATAAATATTAATTTAAAGAATATTAATAAAAAAATTAATAATTACTTCTTCTAATTCGTAATATTTTTTAATCTATTATATCATTTATTTTTTTTATCAAAAATATTGAATAGCAATTTATGAAATTTAATTAATTAATTAACAATAAATGATTAAAAAGAACAAATAAATATAATAATTAATTAATTATCAAATATTAATTTATATATTTGGTTTTATGAAGAGATTTCACAGAAAATTAATTTAATATTCACTATTTAAACTTAATATCTGTATTTAAAACATATATTTAAAAATGTATATAGTAGGAATTAGAGTTAGCCAGTTATTTATTTAGTCTTATTTGAAAAAAACCTAGTAGTTAATGTTCTTAAATATTATAAAAGTAATGTTTATAAGTAGATTTTTCTCTTTTAGTTCTGTAATTTTAAGAATATTTATAATATCTCTAAGTTTTACAAGAAGTCTTACAAAAATATCATGGTTTGCATGCCACTTATTATGAAATATTTTTTTTTTATTTATTAATAAATCTGATTTAAATACCATAAATCCTCATAAATTCTCACGAGCAAACATAAATTTTAACCATATTTTGTGAATATTTATATTTTTTTATAAATTTTTATGGCAACTTACTCTATTTATAGATAAAAAAGGAAGTGTTACAATACCTCAAAATTTATACACTAATTAGCTTTTCATTAAATTACTCATACAATTCTTAAAATTATTAGAATCTTTTTTAAAAAAAATTATCCCATCAATATGTTTTCCACCATAAAAAATAACAATGAAAAATTATGGATAGTTTTTTTTAAGCTAAGTTAAAATACAACAATCCAATTTTTTAAAACATTTTTCTTTATTTTTTAACAAAATTTATTTATAATTACCTTAATTGTTTTATAGTATTTAAAGAAAATAATTTTTTTTATTTATTCTTTCAATTAAATATATTAAAAACATCATTCATTATATTATTCAAAATATTTATTATTGGCTAATTCATTCATTGAATCATTATTTGATTTATTGATTTTAAAAATTGTAAATCTTAATATTATATTTAATAGATAGATAGATAGATAGATAGATATTACATAAATTTTGAAATTAATTATTATTTGTTATTTTGTTTAAAGTCATCAGTTGAAATAATAGAAATAGTTTATCTAATGAGACAAAATATTTATTATTTAGAAAGGATTTAGAAGAGCTTTATTCCACTCAGCTACTTTAAATAGAAATTGTTGAGATGATAGATAAAATGCTCAATTATTTGCTGAAACATAGTGAAGGATTCTAAAAATAAAAAAATAAAAATGTAGAACTTGAATAAATATTATGCCAAATTGAGTAATATTTAAATTCTCTAAAGGCAGAAAACTAGAAAATGCTGAGAGAGAACAATAAACTGCTACCAAAAATAAAAATTTATTAACAGTTAAACTAGAATAACTGGAAACTGAGGCAAAGCACCTATTTTTTGTGTTTTAGAGATTAGAAGAATGATGCATAAAGCTTAAAGATGAAGTAATTCAAAAGCAAATAAACAATAGATAAATTATGTGTTTTATTTAGAATTTTGCCCTAAATAATAAATTAGGTACAATTTCATCAAAATTTAATCTTCCTACTTGTGAAAAATGTTTTGAAAATCAACCAAAAAGCTACATTAAATCTAGCTATAAAAGTTTAACAAATGTGTCTATTGGTATTTATTGATTTTATAATAAAAATAATTTATTTAAAATTCCTATTATATGATTATTATAGAGAAGGATTGAATTTATTGTCATAAGATAGCTCAAATTAAAAGAATAGCATGTCTAAGAATATGATATTTAGAGGCTATAAAATATATTAGATTCTAAGTAAAATTATTAAGACTGATATTCAATTAAAAAATGCAAGAACAATTAAGAAACAGCAAAGAATAGTTTCATACTTAAGAAGCTTAATTATCTTATTTAAAGATGCAAGTAGGCAATAGAGATAGCTAAATAAGTAGGTTAAAAACTAGATTTGATGGTAAATAATTTTTAAAAGATATTTAAATTGAAGTTTTATTAAAATTATAAAAATATATCTATTTAAATTAATAAATATTGATAGTTTGTGGTATAAAGATGGTTAAGCTATTTTAAGATTACAATCATATGCAGTAAAATTACAAAATTATGTTATTGAACCATTAAATTTATTGTCTCGACAAAGAAAATATAGAAATGAATTCTATTTTGAGATCCAAACCATATAGC